TTGACATTCTTTGAAAAGGTTACTGCTTATGTAGATAAGGGTGAGTGTGTAGATTTGGTGTATCTGGATTTTCAGAAGGCATTTGACAAGGTGCTACATAAAAAAACTTGTAAAACATTATCTCTATAGGTGTGGGGAATAAATTAACGAATTGGATAAGAGAATGGCTGGATGGAAGAAAGCAGAGGGTTGTTATAAATGGAGTTTAGTCAAACTGGATTAAGTCACAAGTGTGGTACCTCAGGTCTCAGTCTTATGACCTTTGCTCTTTTTGATTTACATCAATTACATAGAAGAAGAAATGATCAATGAATTATTTAAATTTGCTGATAATGTTATAGGTATTGGTTGTTAACTTAAATATAGACCTAAAAAGCTTATATTATCGCCAATAGGGCTGTAGTTATCCCACTTATTTTCCTCTTAAAAGTCACAAGTGTACTATTCAACCTTACCTTTGAAAGAAGTGAGGTTTGATAAGTTATATTTGTGTTCGGATCTTTGTATTTAACTGCCCGATTACTTATGTAATGACTGTAGTTAGGGGTCGAATGAAAAGAATCTGCTTTGTTAACTCGTCAAAATGCTCAGCCTCGACCTTGACACACCATATTAGAAAAACCGTGTCTCTGTGTGTCAAGTTTTTTTTTCTCTCTCTCTCTCTGAAGCGGACTCAGGCCTAACTTCATAGTTTGTAGGCTGCACAATCAAGTTGTTGTTCCTGATTCAGACCGATCTACTCAGATACCGACTGCTAATTGACTCACTGAAGAGACCATAAGACTTCCAAAAGCTTCACTTATTGTCCAATATATTTAAGTCTTAATCAAAACTGATTACTGTTGCGTCAGCGAAGTCACATGACTAGTGTCACGCCACGTTTCTAGAACTATCCTGTACCTTGGCGAATGATCTAGCATTTACTAGATATAGGGTAGTCTGGTATATAAAAGAGGGTGACAACGTGACGGGATAATAATGTGTGTGTAGACAGTGAGTAATTGAACTGCAGTCAGAGAGTATTATTGAGCACGTTCGTTGTTATAGCGTTTGTTTTAGCGCGATTGTTGAAATTAAGTGTATCGTAAAGTTATTTTCGGAAAGAATAAACCAGTTTTATTAAGTAAGGACTTGTGTCACTAAAGTTTCGTCGGAACGAAGTTACGTAAAATCAATTAACAAACGGAGACGTAACATTACATAAGATTTCACCCAATAACACTAATGCATACAGTTCACGTCAGATTTTTTGATTTTTTTTTAGCAAAGAACACTGAAACATACACTGATGATACATCATACAGTATTCTCTCTCCAAAGTCATTTACAAGACAGATAATTTTTCAACAAACAATAATATAATTCAGATACATGTACAAGCAAAACATTTCATTTGTTCACAACGTCATCAATTTAAGAGTCATGGTTTAAACACTGAAATTTGGCGAAGCGTTAGAAATAATATGCCTATATACCTGATAAAAATTACATCAACGTAAATGTCCCCCTCCCATCTTAATTTGTCCATTGCGAATTCCAAATCAGAGGCATGTAAAATAACATTTTAGGCCTATTAACTGTTAATTTAATATTTTAGGTAACACAAACAATATTATACGGAATCTGAGACTTAAGCCTACCTAGTGTTGCATCAGCGAGGTCACGTGACTAGTATCACGCCACTTGTTTCTAGAAATATCCTGTTCCTTCAAGAATGCCCTAGCACTTACTAGATATGTGTTAGTCATGTATATATAAGACGTTCACAACGTGACGGGACAACAGAGGTAATGAGTTATTGAACTGCAGTCAGAGAGAATATTGTTAAGCACGTGAGAAGTTCGTTGAGAATTATATAGTTTGTTACAGAGCGACTGTTGAAGTTGAGTGTATCGTAAAGTTGTATTCGGAAAGAATAAACCATTTTTATTTAAGAAAGGACTTGTGTCGCTAAAGTTTCGTCGGAACGAATTTACGAAAAATCAATTAACGAACGGAGACATAACACTATCTTACATCTTGAAATTTAATCAGTGGAAACCAATAAACACAACGATCAACATGTCAACAAATGCTATTTCTTCTACCATGGACACTTAAATCTTTTAATACTTCTATGATAATCAAATTATAGGATATGAAATTGTGAAAATGTGAGTGAATCAATCGTGTCTTAGTACTTGTTTGATTCCATCTGTATATTCGTAACACACAGAAATAAGTGTCACACCAAAAGGCACCAGTTGATTTTGAATTTGTGAATCGGGTTTATTGCGATGACATCATGTAGCTGTTAGGTAATCCTGATTTCTGATAGATAAGTTCAGAATAGAAACTATCAAGTCGATACAGTATCTCCCCTTCATTTCCGTGAGATAATTATTATTAAAATATTTATTGGGAGTATTTGTCCGGCAAGCAGATAATAAAAAAATAACTGCTAAAACTATGAATATGTAAACACATAGTCAGTGAACACACGAGAAGTGAAACATGATAAAATATTACCATTTTGTCTTGACTCTTTAAGATTATAGACTGACGGTTATTGGAAAAAATATATTTCTTGGGGCATTTCGGGGTAGAAGTTAGTTTGGGCCTGTTGAACATGAAATTCCACGTTACTTAGGAGGAAAATGACGTTTATGGAGTGAATATTAGTAAATTAATAATCGCCGAAAAAACGTTATTTAAAACCATTAATTAGTGTTGAGATACTGTTTGTTATTTGTTTATAGGCATATATGACATAAGAAAAAAACAAGAATCACGTTCGTATTACCTTCCTATATACTAAAGCTACCCATTTCTGTTTCAGCTGTACATTTTCACGTAAAGCAATTTCAATTGTAGCAATATTAAGATAAACGAGAAAGGCACAGTTACGATATTAGAATATTAATCACTTTGTATATACGAGAAAAAAAGAAAACTTATTTAACAACACATATGTATTTCAAATATAACAAATGACTTTTGCTAAAGGATACGCGACATCGTATTTGCTACAAATTTGTATATATTTACATGGATATCACATATACCGTATGCAGTCAAACGTGTAATTAGAGATTGTCTGAATATCTACTCGGAATTTCAGTTACATGAGCATAGTGCTAAAAGTGACTGATCACAGGTAATTTTCGGTGGTGTTCATATAGCGATGTTCTTCACTAAATCCTATGCAATCACATAGTCCTGGGTACATGGCAATTCTGTTTTCTGGCATTTGAAGCAAAGTATTCTAGATCCCTTGTTACACTGGCTTCTAGTAATTTCCAGATGTGCATCTGGAATAGGATCCAGAGATATCAGAATTGGGACAAGTTTCTCAACAATACACTTCTATGCCGTGTCTCCAGGAGCTGATAAAACAAGTCTTGCAATGTGCGTCGGTCTCCACACTGCAGAGGATATCTAGTCACGTGATATAGAGAGAGAACCTAGTTTTATTACCTGCCATCTTGGACATAAACACGACGGCTTTCCCAACTCTAACGTTACATTTTGTACAGAAAAACTTTCTATTTAGCGCTTTGACAAGGGCTTAGATGAACCATCTAAACATCCGAAAAATGTCAGCAAAATGACTATGACCGACCTGTATTCTATTTCCCCTCAACTTCAATAATACTCTCTGACTGCAGATCAATTACTCACTGTCTACACACACACACATTATTGTCCCGTCACCCTCTTATATATACCAGACTACCCTATATCTAGTAATTTCCCGACAATTCACGAAGGTACAAGATATTTCCAGAAAGAAAGGGGGCGTGACACTAGTCACGTGACCTCGCTGACGCAACAGTATTTATAGGCATCTAAACTTTTATATGCTTTCAATTCCTTTCTTGTGTAATGTGAAACGCTGAAAGTTAGGCAGTTGAAAATATTTGAGTATTCCACGTCGGGAATGTCCATAATTATTTCTCAACATGACTAATGAAATAACATCTAAACTTGTGGTCATTGTCGCACGTTCGTTGTTATAGCGTTTGTTTTAGCGCGATTGTTGAAATTAAGTGTATCGTAAAGTTATATTCGGAAAGAAATAAACCAGTTTTATTAAGTAAGGACTTGTGTCGCTAAAGTTTCGTCAGAACGAAGTTACGGAAAATCAATTAACGACTGGAGGCATAACAATGTGCTTACGTTTAATGAACAATTTCATTTTTATATTGCCACAGTTTTTTATAACAAATTTATGATACACATCAATAGAAAAAAAAAGTATTTATGTTTGTAAATACAATCAGTAAACAAAGTCACGATCAATCGTTCCAAAATATTAAGTCCAGTTTTGCAATAGAATTATTCATATATTAATCTGCCATTTCCTCGAAATGAACTTGTGGATATGGTATTACGTTAAAAATATAACCAATGGCAATCTAGGGCGAGTTTGTCATCAATTTCTTAGCCTTTCCCTAATATGGTGATTGAGCTGGAATAAGCGTAAAAGTAGTGAATGTTCACAGATGTGGTTATGTTCTTTTACTTTTCCAATGTCTGTATTATTAAGTTTTTATAAAGTGTTTTACATATAATTTCTAATGCATAATAAATTCTAATTTTCTTCATTTACAAAAATGAAATATGTTTGACATTTAATACAAAGATTTACCAGGTTTTGAGACTTTGTACCACTCCTAGTTTTCGTCAGAGTTAAGATTTACACATGTGTGAGTAAGATACAAGCTGTGAACTTCCTGGATAGTATAATTCGTAATCAACGGAAACTGAAGTTAGTTCTGCAGGATACTGGATAGACTTTTGGTAGTTGTTAAGGTAACCATAATATGTCCTTTTTTTCTTCACTTTCATTGTCGAAAAGGCTATTGTAAAGTGGTTTTCAGGAATAAACTTATCAGGTACATTTATTAGACATTTGAATCTATTGACTTTAAAAAATTGTTGGTATCTTTAATAAATATCTTGATGGGCGGGCGTGGTTAGCGTTGTGTAGGTTAGTATAATGATTAGTGCGCATGCTCGGTTTGAGAATCTGAGGGTTTACTATGATGACCTGTTGGGGCAAAAAGATTCACTCTTTGGGGAAAATGAATACACTATCAGATTAAGAGTGATTATAAAATTCCTGCTGTTTGGTGAGACAAGAGTTGACAGTGAATGCTGTTTACTAGCTGCCTTCCCTTTATGTTGTTACTTTAAAATTAGTAAATTAGTGATGGCTGTCAAAGGCTATGCACAGATAGCTTTTAATTTTAAATTGAAAGGAAAGTCTGAAGCAGACTTTATCTTGACTATGTTTTTTAGCTCCGTGTCAGTATTTTTTTTCTCTTGTGAAGAATACTTTGGTGGTCTTCTGTAACATTAAATGCATGTGCATGTCAGTTGTATAACTATAAGCTATAAATAAATTTATAATTCAATATAATGTTTTCTGTCCATAGTATAATTTATATAGGATTGGTATACACCAGTATCTGTTAATTTTACATTGGATGTTATATTGCCAAAATATCAAGATTATTTAGCAAGAAGACTCCCACCAAAAAACTTGATAAATGTTACTGGTTATTCTATAATTTTCAGAGTTAGTTGAAGTAGTTCTAACCTTTTACAGTTAACAGATATCAGATAAGTCTATAACTACCAGCATATTATCAGATTGTGTTGTTTTTAATGAAGAATATTGGAATTAAATTTGATGTATTAAAATCATTTAAATATTCTGATCACATATTATCTTAAATTTGGATTGTGTTTTCAATGACTTGATATGGATTTTTTTTTAATTTGTTCAAGTACTTTGACATTGAAGTATGATATCTGACGGACATCTTGTGGGAGATGGATCATGGAACCTGCATGTCCATATTACTGATCTGCAAGTGGAGCGAATCCTTCGAGTCAAAGGAGACCTTCATATTGGAGGAATAATGTTAAGCCTAGTGGAAGACCTTGGTGAGTTCAATTAACTAATAACTAAAGCATCAATGAGGTATAGAACCTTGCCACAGCTTTTCTGTGGATTAACGTATGGACAACAAGAAGCCATTTGGTCCTTCAAGGCTCTCACTCTCTATTTTTACTCTCTCAAATACTTCTAAAGTGCCAGTCTGCACTACTGCTAATGCCATTTCATTCCATAAGTCGGTCATCCTTTTAGAAAAATCAAACTGTCTTAATTTGAATTGTTTTCTTTGTTTTTAAAATCTTAAAATTGCTTTTTTTTCCTATTATCATAAGGATGCAGCAAAAAGAAATCAGAGGTCTTTATCCAGTTGATCATCCAGCTAACCTTGTGAACCTCATTAAAGTCACCTCTAACTCTTCTTTTTTCAAGAAGTAAGAGATCTTAGCTTATTCTTGTGAGATAACCCTTCTGTTCTGGAATCATCTTAATAGCCCTTCCCTCAACCCTTTTCAATAAATAATAGATAAAAAGAGCAAAACTGTACTCGGTATTTCAAGTGAGGCCTAACTAGTGATTTGTGATGAAAGATAGTTACCACTTTTGACTTGTAATCATTGTTTATAAATAAACCCTAAAATTATATTAGCTATGCTACTAGCAACAAAGCAGTGCTTCAATAGTTTGATTAACTTATCCACTACTATACAAAGATACTTTTCTTCAGTCATATTATTGAGTTGGTTCTCATCTATGTTGCATGAGACCCAAATTATGATAACCCAAGTGCAATACCTTGCACTTACTGTAATTAAAGCTCATTTGACCAACTTTCCTATTGATCTAAGCCATTCTGTAATACGTCAGTAACGCTAGAAATACCCAAGAGTGTAATGTCTTTAGCAACCTCTAATGATTTCCTTGCTAGATATTCCAACATTACCAGAAATTGTTGACCACCAGCTAACATTGTGTTTTGAAACATCTAGCCGGTCTTGTTGGAAAGCCAGTTTCAAGCGACATATGTTGGTCATTTGCTGGAGAGCCAGTGTCAACCAGCATGTTTTGGTCATTTGATGGTGTATCAGTATCAGCTAGCATGTGCTGATCACTGGCTGGAGAAACATAGTCGAGCAGCATGTGTTGATCTTTGTTATAATGTGGTTAGTTCTTGAATGCCTTATTCTCAGTTCCTCTGGTGGTAACTTTTTTCTACAACCATATCAGGTAGCATTCTAAATATAAAAAGAAAAAAATTACTGAAATTAAATTTATATTTTGTATTATTGCTTTAGAGCTTGAAACATAAGGACAAAAGCTACCAAATATTGTGACTAATAAAGTATTAAATGTTATTCTCTTATAAAGAAAGTATATTCTAAAATTGAAGTGCTCTACTGCCTTTTATCGTGAGTTCAGTTATATAACAGTTTTTTGTGGAGTAATTTGTCACTTCATTAAGAGTTATTTTATTACTATTAAAAAAGTTGGGCAAAATGCTGTTTCTACCATTACTATAATTTATTGTTTGGCTGTGTTTAAACTGTTTTAAGTATTAGCTTTCCACTGATTCCATGGAAATATTATCTTGCATAATAATATATCATGAAGTTATTCAGGTGAAGTTTGAGCTTCGTTGGATGGGTCTATTAAATAACAGGAGATTTGCTCAAGATATTGATTATGGACTACTACTGATTTCTTACTAACAGTCAGTGTAAAACAAAGTAATGAGACTGTACACAAAGTGGAATACAAAATTAATAATCTTTATTCAATTCTAATCACAAACACAGTGTCTGCACTTACTATCTACTTATGTCAGACCATTGCTTTGACTAGATCACTGTACTGATTACTGAGGACCAAGTTCTACTAGACTATATTCAATGATATTCCAGACTAGACTGACTAATCCATGGTCTTAAAGAGTAAAGGAAACCTCATATTTACCCAGTATGACGTGTGATACCTCTTGGTTATTCTCATTACACATCAGTGGGGTCATGATGTCTATGTATCACCTGAACAACAGTTGAAGGACATTGCTGTCAACATCCTTATACAAAGTCACAGTAACCAATGTTCTCCATGTGTAGTAACAGGTATTACAAACTTCAAGAGAACAAAGGTAATTTGAAACAAGGTCCAGTTAATATTTGTTCTTGACCACATGTTATGTGAAACATGCACATATCTTAGTATGGTTGAATGATCAAGCACACTTAAATGTCATTTTATACTGTGTAGTATGCTGAATTGAAAAACAATTACTAGTAAAACATTGCTGAAATAATGCATCAGATTGAAATATGTGAAGAATATTGTACAAATTTTAAATGGGACTAGCTTCTTTGTGGCCATTCTATGTAGGTTAAGGTCATTACAGTAGCCTAACATCATACCTTCTTTTCTTGTGTTATCACATATTTATGTGGTTTAGATGTCACTTTGGACTGGTCAGATCATGCCCTCTGGTGGCCAGCAAAGAACAAATGGTTACTGCGGACAAAGTCAACCCTTGACCAGTGCGGAGTGCAGGCAGATGCTTTATTACATTTCACTCCAATGCACAAAGTGTTGAGGCTACAGTTACCAGATCTACGATTTCTGGACTGCAAAGTTGATTTTTCAGTGAAGACCTTCTCTGCTGTTGTGAAGTTATGCAGAGAGCTAGGTAAGTTTAAGTTGTTGTGGTTATTTGAATAACAAGTTATAAAACTAAGAATCTAAGGTTGTCAACTATATTAAGAATGTTATATATTATGCGTGTCGCACTTTATATTAGAAAAAATCTTGTGGGTTGTCAACTGTTTTAGAATGATACTTTTGAATGTATGGTTAAAAAAAAATTGTTTAGGAACTTAACACTTTTTTTTATTATTACAAGTGATCAAAGTGTATTGAAAGTATAGGTAAACCTGAGTCTTTTAGTACATTATTTAATATATATATGACAATTCAGTACATTATTGAGAAGAAACCGGTTGTTGTTGTTAAAAATACAATATTATAAATACAGGATTGTTGTAAAATCTTGAGTAACTAGTAAAAAATAGAGGTTTTTCTTTCATATTTTATCAAGAGAAAGAACTGGTTCTGTTGATTGGTTCTGGAAACTTTCAGTTGACAGTAGTTTTGGTTAGGTTTGTAATATGACTGAATAACTGCATGTTAGATTAGACGTGCGCTTGTTACAAGATTGTATGGTACGACTCTCTCACGATACTTAAGTAGCATGCAAGTAAATCATCATTCAAGACACCTAATAACTTTTGGAAGGTAGTCTTTTGTTGTTCTCCTCAAAAAAAGAAAGTTTTATACTCTAAAAGTGATCAATTATTGGATTTGTTCATAATTATAGCAGACAATGAAGTTGTAGGTTTTAGATATGAACATAATTAATAAATTGGATTAACAATAAAACATAGTATATTCATTTGATAGTAATGATTCTTAAATTTTTTAAATAATATTTTGATTTGTTTGACTTTTAACTAAATCTTGAATTAGTCTCTTTTTAAGCATTGCAAATGTTCCTTTCTTTAATCAGTAACTAGAAATACAACTTTAGCTGAACTGTTAAAAACAACGATTCTGGATTTTGCAGAAGAATAAAATATTTATTTCTGATCTCCAAAGTTCACTTAACCCAGTTTAAAATTCTAATTGGAGCTTACCAGAAAATTTGCTTTTTACGTCCTTTTTAACCATTTTTAGTGATGGAAGTATTTAATATTTTGATTATCAATTTTAAACATCGTTATTTAAGTGCTTTTTCTGTTTCCTCAAGAACAATGAGCTGATTTATGATGTAGTTTTTAAAAAATATATATTGATCAACATGCATATGTCAAATATACCTGAGGCATAACTAATGATAAGAGTGTTCTTTCATGTGAGGAGATGAGATAACTGATATTCAAAGTGGAATATTAATAAGTTTGGAGTCATAAAAACTTAATGATTTGATAAATGTATATTTCAAGAGCTCATATATTTTTAGGCATAAGATGCCCAGAAGAGTTGTCTTTTCTTCGTCCTCTTGGTCCAGAACATTTGAAAAAAAACTATCGATTCATTGAGTGCAGTCCAAGGCAAAGGAATAAAGAAGGACAAGGCTCTTCACTGGGAAGTTTGAGTCTAACTTCCAGCACATCTGATAAAGCAGAACAAGATCCCCAAACCTTGGGAATGCCCAGAAGTGGTGTAAGTGTACATGTATAGGTATAGTTTATTTTCAACAGAAGATTCATTATTTTTATCAATTTTGCTCTCATCTATAGTTTGAAGTAACAACAATTTTACAACAATAAACATTTCTTTATTAATTTTTTTCTTCACTAAAACTTGGATTTCAGTGAAGAAAGGATAAAGTAGAGACCTAATATGTTCTTTCATTCACTACTACCACTGAACACACTAGTTTTACCAAATTTGCAGTCTGAACGAGGCCTGCTTTTGTTTCACTGTTCCAAGCAGCATTGATGAGCCTTGACTTTGGCAAAACTAGTGGGAATAGTGAACTAAAAATTCAATTACACCTGTAATTCATCCTTTCTTAATTAAAATTTATGTTTTGGTGAGTAAAGAAAATTAGCAAATATATAACCAGTTAGTCCTTTGAATAATAAAAGGATAATTAACTGTGATGGTATTTCACAATTATTTTAGGCTATTAGTGGTACATCAAAACTAATTAATAAGCATTGTTATAACTTCTGGTTTTATAATGTGGACTTTCAGTTTATAGTTTTGCATTTAACATGTTCATGACATCATGCAACACCAGTGGTACATATGCATGTTGTCTGTTGTATGTCGTGAGCCACCCGTGGTACACAGCACCCATAAGATATAACTCTACCTCATATCTCCAAAGTCCTGTATGAAGCATTTATTTTATACAGGCAGCTATAATAAAGCCACACCTTCCATCATGTACCGCTGGTGAAGCACGATTGCCATGTTCAAAAGACAACTGAAATAAAACAAATTTACATGATTAAATCACTTTTTGTTTTAAAATTACATTTAAGAGACTGGCATTGAGTTTTTCATTGTGAGTAATTGAAACAAAAAAGCACTAATTGAGACTCCTTTCATAAATAAGAAAACTGTAATATATAATAAGGATAGAACTATTGTCATCCACAGTGGGGATTATTTTATCTGATGTCCCTTTTTTTATGCCCATAGAATTGTGAACTATTCATAATTCTTCTAAAAAAAACAGCAAGATTAGGCTTAAAAAATATTATGATCATTTGATTATCATTACTTAAATCATAGTGTGCACCACCGATGACACATGACAACCAAAGCTTAAATGGGTAAAGACAGGATGTCGTGTACCACCAGTGGTGCACTCAAGAGAAAGTTCCCAATGCAGTCATTCTGTCATAAAACATAACATAAAGCCATAAAATTAGCTGTATCTAAGGCAGAGTTCATAATGAGGCCTAACGTTCCTATTGCATAATTAGAGAAATCACTTATGCCGCGAATGGGTTAATATACCCTGCAATATTAAGTTGATTGTGCAAAAATGCAACTTACCAAAATGTTTAGCTATAAGTTCATATGCAAAACTTAATGTTGCTAAGACATGTAATGTTATCACTTTGCCCCCCTTTTTTCTATTTCTGTGTTTTGTTAACTGTTTTTCAACATCTGACAAAATCTCTGAATACTTTTAATAAATGTTGTTCTTTTTATCTTAAAAGAACTTAATAAGGTAGGATTTAATTGATGTCTAAAATTTTTATGACAACAAAAATAAAATATTGCTACCTCTAGTCACTAGACTTCCTCTTAATGACTAACTGATAATTACACTGTTTATTTTTTAAAAAAAGTATTGATAAAGTCAAAAGTTTAAAACTGTTTAAGCAAGTATATTTTTCATTTGGTTACTAATGAACTGTACAGTAAGTTGGGATGCAACTCATTTTTTCAGTTTTTCATGTAAAAATAAATAGTACTTTATTATTGTATATTTAATTGTACTTAATTGCTGTATTGATGAAATTAATAAATGTTGCCAAAACAGTGATATAAGATTATTGTTTCTAAGTTTCTAATACTTTTCCTGCAGCCTGTGTGGAACAACTCTGGATATTCCTCCAGTAATGGAACATTCAATGGATCATATATTGGTACCCATAGTTTTTCTGGTGATGAAAGTTTTTTAAGCCAGGACTTTCCACTTGCTCAAAGTTCTAAAACTCCAACAGAAGAAGCCAGACAAGGCCTTCTTTATCCAAAGTCTCTTACTGAAAAAGGAGATTAAATTCAAGGTAAAAGAAGCTCACTTTTTAATTGAAAGATGATTATATAAAACTTGTATATATATATATATATATATATATATATTTTTCATATTTACAAATGCTCAACGATAGTTTATTTCTGGAAATATGACAATGATTACTCTCTGTTTGTTTGTTTTTTCTTTTACCAGCTCTTTTAGTTTATTCATACAGTTGTTGCAATGAAGCTTGATATATAAATATTTTAAAGGTAGATTTAATCAGTGCAGTTTTGTAATTTTTTTTATCAGATTATTTCTGCCCAGTGAAGAACGGTACCACAAAACTGTTTGACAAACACGTATCTAGATTTGTTGATACCATTTACTCGACATGAAGTACATTAAGGGAAAAAAAAAAAAGTGCTGTTTTGTTTGAAGTTAAAATATTTTAGCCAAAAGACCTTTTCCTGTTTTTTTATTTTCAGTTGGTTGGACTCTTCTCTCTCATTGATGGAACAGGATGTCAGAGAGTTTGACATGCTGTTGTTAAAATATAAACTGTTTCACTTTTATGATCTTAATCCCAAAGTAAGTGTTGTTGTTTTTTATTCAGTTCAAAGTATTTAAAATATAAAAATGGAAAGTTCAGATTTGTATTACTAGTACTTCTATAATTTATGAAATACTAATGGAAAAAGCTTATATTAAAATGTTTATCTAAAATAAAAATTATTAAACACTACAACAAACTGAGACAAATCCTGGTCTTGTGGTCTTTAAAGCTACCTTAGTGAGTAGACCATTAAAAACTTTCTGTACAAGTTTTTTCAGGACTGTTAACAAAATAAAAATTAAATACTTATAGTAAGATTGTGATGATTGAATATCAGTTGCTATGGTTACTGTCATATATGATCACCTAAGTGTAATTATTCATTAGATACTTTATACTAATTACCAGTTAGTTTGTATTCTGCATTTTAACAGCTGTTACTTTGTTATCTTCAGGAAAGTCCTGAGATGGACTGTACTGTATGAGGTGGTAGGGGCTGGGATTAAATTATGGGTTTTCTTGTTAGAGAAGCCGGTGTGTGATATCCACTCATCTAAGATCTCCTGGATTAAGACTAATTTTTTTTAACTGTTTTAAGAAGGGTATCTAGGTTTTATAGATGTCTATGTTAGGTTGACTGAGTGTGTTATCAGTTTGGTGGATCTATGTTAGGTTGACTGAGTGTGTTATCAGTTTGGTGGATCTATGTTAGGTTGGCTGTGTTATCAGTTTGGTGGATCTATATTAGGTTGGCTGTGTTATCAGTTTGATGGGTCTATGTTAGGTTGGCTGTGTTATCAGTTTGATGGGTCTATGTTAGGTTGGCTGTGTTATCAGTTTGATGGGTCTATATTAGGTTGGCTGTGTTATCAGTTTGGTGGATCTATGTTAGGTTGGCTGTGTTATCAGTTAGTTGGGTCTATGTTAGGTTGGCTGTGTTATCAGTTAGTTGGGTCTATGTTAGGTTGGCTGTGTTATCAGTTTGGTGGGTCTATGGTAGGTTGACTGAGTGTGTTATCAGTTTGGTGGGTCTATGTTAGGTTGGCTGTGTTATCAGTTTGGTGGGCCTATGTTAGGTTGACTGAGTGTGTTATCAGTTAGGTGGATCTATGTTAGGCTGACTGAGTGTGTTGTCTGTTAGGTGGGTCTGTGTTAGGCTGACTGAGTGTGTTGTCAATTAGGTGGGTCTGTGTTATATTACTATGAAATAATGGATTTTCATGTTGAACAAAACCGAACATGAGGAAGATAGGAAGAATGTCATTATCATTGTTAAAATTTAGGGGCATAAAATATCAAAATAAGACAGAGGTTACTTGAGATGCAGCCAGATAAGACAGAGGTTACTTGAGATGCAGCCAGATAAGGCAGAGGTTACTTGAGATGCAGCCAGATAAGGCAGAGGTTACTTGAGATGCAGCCAGATAAGGCAGAGGTTACTTGAGATGCAGCCAGATAAGACAGAGGTTACTTGAGATGCAGCCAGATAAGACAGAGGTTTCTTGAGATGCAGCCAGATAAGACAGAGGTTACTTGAGATGCAGCAAGAGATAACAACCCATTCACATTTGATTCCATAAACTCTGCCTATCTCTAAGCCTAATAAATACTAATTTTACATGTAAGATAGGCAATATAATTACAAAAGGAAACAACAGTCCACAAAACACATTCTAAACCTATGGTAATAGAAGTGGCAATAGAAGTCCACAAAACACATTCTAAACCTATAGTGATAGAAGTGGCAGTAGAAGTCCACAAAACACATTCTAAACCTATAGTGATAGAAGTGGCAGTAGAAGTCCACAAAACACATTCTAAACCTATGTTGATAGAAGTGACAATAGAAGTCCACAAAACACATTCTAAACCTATGTTGATAGAAGTGGCAGTAGAAGTCCATAAAACACATTCTAAACCTATGGTGATAGAAGAACCTGTTGCTCCATCTGTACAGTGTTAATAAAGTTAAGCTAGGGACAACTAATAATCATACAGAAATGTAACATCATTAACCAGTAAACCAACATAAAAACTGACTATACAGTTGTATAGAAATGTTACATTACTAACCAGTAAACCAACATAAAAACTGACTATACAGTTGTACAGAAATGTAACATCATTAACCAGTAAACCAACATAAAAACTGACTATACAGTTGTACAGAAATGTTACATTACTAACCCGTAAACCAACATAAAAACTGACTATACTGTTGTACAGAAATGTAACATTACTAACCAGTAAACCAACATAAAAACTGACTATACAGTTGTGCAGAAATGTTACATTACTAACCAGTAAACCAATATAAAAACTGTTCAAAGAACCAGAAGTCATTTTTTTCAGTTATATATTGATTTTCTATGATTTAGGTATATTGTAGTGTTTATTTTGGATCAGTGTCATTTTTGTTACGTCTTTATGGTTTTTAGTATGATGCTGTAAGAATCAACCAGATATATGAGCAAGCCAGGTGGTCCATTTTAACTGAAGAAATTGACTGCACTGATGAAGAAATGATGTTATTTGCAGCATTACAGGTACACAGCTTTTTGTTTAAGAAAATTGTGTATAAATCTGTTTAAAAAAGTGTATTTTGGTAAAAGTGTTTTTTTTTGTTTAATGCTTAACAACTGTTCAAAAGTTCATAAGAACCACATACATTTGTTATTCAAATATTGCTATCGATTAGTTAACTTTTAAATTAGCTCCATATAAATGTTACTAACATAAACTAAGTAGTTTAATACACATACTGTAAACCAATGATTCTTAACCTTTTCAGTACCAGCAGCTAGCTCACTAAACTGTTAGGACTACCAAAATTCAAGTTCAATGAAAAGCCAGTATGATTTAGATATGTATATTGTGTTATTTTTTTTGTTTTTGTGAAATCCCATGGACCAGTGGTACTACACTGTCTGGTGGGTGTAAAACACTGCTGTAGACTGTGTTTAACATAATGGAAAGTGAACAGCACAAATTGAAATATTTTGCAATAGAATAGAATCGTTGTTTAATTACTTACAGCAGAACTCTTTTTACATTGTCATATTTGAAATAGATAGATAATTTATAATTGGGTTAACGCTGGATATTGGTTGTTTTTTTGTTTGCATAGAATGTTTGTTTGCTTTATTTTCCAATTGTTGTTTTTGAGAATTTTTCCAAAATCTTATTTATTTACTTCCATTAATGAGGGAAATAATCTTTATTAAATTTGCGAGTAGAATATCTTCAATTTAATACATATTTAATGGATTGATACAACATAAAAATGTAATGTAGCATTTAATTATGTATGTATGCATGTATATGTACGCACTTTTCTTTATATGTTTATGTATATATATTGCTTTTCCTTTATAGTTGCAAGTACACATGCAAGCTAAAGTGCCGCAACCTATACCACAACCTGAAGTTGAAGATGATGTTGATGCTGCCTTAAATGACCTTCAAGTATCTTTAGAAGGCTCTACACTCAGTGAAACAAATGGTAACTTAACCAACATCCCAGAGATTTCAGATTATCTGAAATTTATGAAGTAAGTGTTTTGTAATCCCACACCATAAGCTTAGTTATGTTGATGTGTCATAATTATATCATTAAAATGGTTCATGAGGCACGCATGTGAGCAGCTCGTGGTTAATGTAATTTGATAATGTAACTTGACCTGCACATTCTCTGAGTGATGTACAACTTTTTGTGGCACAGATAGTAGTTAGACATGGATCAAAGGGCAATAAAACAATAGAATTTAATTATAAATAGACGTATAATGTTACGAACTTAGAGCTACTAAGGATAAATGATTGTAGTTTCATGTTACAATTTGAAGTCATTCTAGAAAGAAAAGAAGGTTAATTTAGGTTTATTTCGATTATTTTTTTTTTGCAGTTACGAGGTTGGTCTAATTGACCGATCCCATTTTGAGATTAGGGTAGAGGAAATAACAGATAAACTATGACTGATTTCAAAGCCAGTCCATTTACTAAACAGATATCTCTTATACTTATGTTTGCTATTTCTCAGTAAATAAATGTTCCCTTGTTTAGGTCGAAACGTTTTACTTTAAAGGGCTTCAAGCAGTGCTTCTTATCTTTCAAAGACACCAAGCTAGCTGTATACAAAAATCATGAAGAAAATCGTGATGAACCCTCATTGGTCATTGAGCTCAAAGGTATGGCCATTGTAAAATATGCATTTGTGATTGTTTGGTTGCAGATATGTGGAATAGATTTTTAATGTTAACATTATTATATATTTTATGATTACAGATCAGTTGTTCTATAACAAAACATAAAATAAATTGCTTGTCACTATTAGGGATTTTTTTCCAATAAAGTAAAGTAACATATACATTTAAACCTCTCACTATGGGCAGGTCAAAGGGTGCATGTCACAATGTTTTAGGGAGTTATTTTCAAAATTTAATTAAACAACTTTACTTTCATTGTATGTCAACAAAATTAGCATCACATCATCATTTATAATTCAGATTTTAATATTATTTGTTTTAATTTCTTAATTTGCAAGAAGATTTAAAGAAATGCTAAATATGCTTTTTAGTTGATCACGTAGCATGTCTTATTGCTCAGCTTATATTTTTACACCTACTGTACAACATCTGTAGTGGTTAACAAATTAGAAACTCAAATTTCAGACATTTACAGGCTAGAATATAAAATAAGAACCTCCCACCATTTTGATTTGCTGAGATATCAATATATTTTGCAAACCCACGAGGGTATCCCCACCCACTACTCCATTCTTTTGCAACCTCTTGTTTACTCATGATTACTTCTCTTAAAGTACATATTTATAATCAACAGAAAAAGCATATTCCAAGCTATGTACATTTGATAGTTGCTTGTAATTGGCTTGAAGGGGAAACTTGTAATTTCACTGAAAATGTTGTAGTTTCTTCACTGAGTCATTGCTTTGAACAGCAATCTTAGTTAGAAAGCCAGATAAGTTATAGTGGTTTTATTTGTACCGGTATAGTAATTTGGTAATTTTTTGGTTTTCTAAAATGCATCTTTGAAACCTACAAAAATTGTCTTCCCCCTCCACTTGAGAGAATAAATGAGGCTTAAGGCGAGCCTTAGCAAGTATGCTGGGTGAATACAAATCAATTTCATAATGTAAGTTTTAGAAATCATTGTTTTTCTATATCTTTTTTATTTATTATTCTACATTTTCAGAAAAATAACACAGATTAAGCATTTATAAGTAAATAGTAATAATTATATATATATATATATTTGTTCATAAACACCTACACAGTTTGTACACCTATACTGCTAAATTCCGACCATCTCTGGTAGATAACTAACATCTAAATACCTAACAAATTTAATGGATCAGCCTGGAATTTGTACAGAGACATATCATAAACATTTATTACTTTAGACAATTCCCATTACAACCACTTACTAAAAACAAGCCGATAAATCCTCTCCCACTGTGTTCTTGGAACTGGTATTATGATAAACTCTGTGGGAAAGTAGTAGTTGTACTGCATGAACTTATTTGCTATCAGTGGTCCCATATTACGGTACCACATAATCCGTCTAACAGCAGGAGTAGTAATTCATTCTTTATATTCAGTAGGTTCCTACTTTAGCTGGTAACAGTAAAATAAACACAGGAAATAGATGTGTAAAGGTTAGAAGTATAAACTCTCAGGAAAAATACTTTGGAACTTTATTGTCAATACTAAAAATGACAGAACAGTACTACTCACTTTATTTTGCATTTTTTAACCTTTAAAGTTTTATAGTGGTTATGGGGTCAGTTAAATTGATCAACCTTTATAGAGTTAGGGTAGAGAAAATTACAGATAAAATATAAAACCTTTATGAAAAAAAAACGTTTGATATTTATTTAGGAGGTTTTAGAGATTGTGCAAATGAAATTTGAAAATTTGTATGTGAAGAAATCATAACATGAAAATCACTGCACTCGGAGCAGTCAACATGCTGATTCCGTATATTCATGGACAAATTTTCATTAAAAATTAAGATTTTTTGGCTACAAAAACTTTTAATGTGTACTAAAAGATGCACACAACATGTTAAAAGTTATATTATAGAAACTCTGGTCACTTTGGGGTCACGTGTTTGGAGTAATCCACCGAGACAGTAGCAAAAGGTTTAATTTAGATACAGAACAAATTTTTGGTGACATTAATACGAAACAATTCAATTCTTTTAGAAACGAACAAATTTTAGTACTAGTTACTATCTAGCTGTTTACAGCTTATGCTCTGATTGTAAATGAAAGTTTGTTTTACAGGATCTGAAGTTTCACCTGACGTTAGTCTTGTTCAAGAAAAGTATGGAATAAAGCTGCAAGTGCCGAGTAACAAAGGAATGACAGAGTATTGGATCAGATGTGACTCTGTAGGTTGAGGTTAAATAAACTGTGTAGTATCGATTACTAGAAGTTCCATATGATGTTTGTTTTAAAACATTGAATAATACAACCATTTGCATACTAGTATTCAAAACAAGAATAGGGAAATCAAGGGGGAAAAGTACAAGCAAAAATAATGTAAAATGAACAGTGTAGTGACCAACTTGCATGGTATGACCCTTTACTCTATCTTTTACTTTTTACTTCTTCTCCAGCTACTAGATTCATTTTAGAAAATTTGTTTATAGTGAGCCAAACTCAATACTAGTAGTTAAAATTATCAAAATGTATTCACGGGATTAAGTGCTTTGTTGGTGTAAAGCTCCCACTTTGACACCTTACTGGTCTGAGATAAATAGCTAATATAAGTTTCTCATTGTATCTGAGAACTGATTACACCATAGTTTAGTAATTTCCAAATAACTATTTTCCATAAACAAAAGCCCGTGAAATTCTTGACACATTTTGCTGGGTTTATGTTAGAGAAAATTGCATCTTTGTTAATTTTCTGTAAAATGTACACATTTAGGGGCAAACTTTATTATGGACGTGAAGAAAATGTAACCAAGATCACAAAAATATGGGAATTTGTTCTCACAAAACACTGAAGCTGCTTCACGGATCTTTCTAATTATGAATAGTTGGTCTTGGGAAACAGCAGAAAAACTTTTCCTTTCTCTGAGCAATTTTAAACCAAAAAAAAGAAATTCCACTTATACATAACAGTATGTCATGAAAGACTGTTTAGAATTAATGATTCATAAGTATCTAAGAAAATTGTAAATAAAATTACACATTTGAAATCCTGTTTTATATAGAGGATTTTTGTTGTTGCATTTGTGGCTACCACCCACTCTTTTTGTTACCTAAAGTCCTTATCCAAGTAATAAGATTTTCAAAATGTATTTAATATAGAGTTAAGAATATTTTGGGTTAACCCTCAGGAGGAACAATATGCTAAGTGGATGGCTGCATTCCGACTGGCTTCGAAAGGGAAGACTATGGCTGACAGTTCTTATGACCTGGAAGTGAAACATATTTTAGAATTCTTGAGTATGCAACGACCAGCGGGTAGTCCAGTAATTAACCCCTCACAAGTGGACATTAACCCCGAAGACTACATAGCTCCCAGGTTTATCAGGAAATGGAAAGACCGACAGGTGTGTTGTTATCCATAACATTTTAGTATAAATTAATTTTAATATAAATCTTAGCACGCATTATGTACTTTTTTAATATAATGAGATTTACAACATTGGTGAAGTAAGAAAATAAATCTGAATATTTGTACACATTAATTTCATCTTAAAATGAAAATCTTCAACATTGTTGCAGCCCAAAGTGATTGCTATAATACTTGTTACTCTCTTTCTCTTGTGCATAATTAATTTTTTGATTTGAAAGTTATGAAAGTATAAATGAGTGATGTGTTGCTGAAATAATCTGTTTGAATTGGACTAAATTTATACTCGTGCTCCGACATAGGCATGCGTACACTGTAAGGTGGGTTTTGAAAGATGTTATCTTTTCTTGAAGTCTATTTATGCCATGGGAATGGATATATAATAAAACAGAATTAATTTTGTTATACCATGTGTTATGTTCGTCGCCCCTTTATAGATTAAGTATCTAAATTACTATTTGACAAAAGTCTGTGCGTGTCCGTTCACACTTGGCAAACTGCTGGGCCAATTGTCCCAAACCTAGCATGTCACCTTAGTCTCCCTTCCACCCCTCAGAGTGACGTTAGAGGGGTCAGTATTTGAATGGGAACATCATTAACATTGTGTAATTAATTATTTCTTTAGCACAGAATTTTTTTGTTGATCAAACTTTGTCAGTACATTATTGGCAAAGATACTGCCCATCTTTACTGAGAGGGTTTGGAAAATTTGAGCACAAGGTTGGGGGTAGTTCTGTATAATGCTCCTTCAAGTGTATTTCAAGATCTTTTTCAGTGTTGTAAACATTTTCTTGGTCCTGTATGGCTAAAACCGTATCCAACATTTATGATGTCTTTTTAGTGTTATAGTGAAATGTTTAATTTAGAGCAATTATCAGTAAATGTTAGTTCTCATTAGTTTCCTTTTTAGGAAATTGTAAAGAAGCAATTTGGTTTTTTCACTTTTATACATTTAAGCTGTGATATTCTTGATACAGTTTTCACCTGTTTATTACCCTTGTTTCTATTTTCGTAGGTTGTAAACCGAATTCTGGAAGCCCATAGTAATGTTAAAGATCTGAATCTCGTTGATGCAAAATTAAACTTTATCAAAGCATGGCAAACCTTGCCAGAATTTGGAATTTCTTTTTTTGTGGTAAAATTTCGGGGATGTAAACGTGAGGTAAGTGAAACTTGAGAATCAACTAACTTTTAAGACGTGTATTATTCTGTGTTATTGTTAGAGAACACTACAATACACAATTTTTTATTCTAACTTTGATAGAGCTTTAATAAGCTTCTTGCTGGACATACATAACTTCCAGCTTTCTGAATTTACTTACAAATTGTTATTATTGAATTATTTAACTTGAATAAAGCAGTAGTTGTTTTAAAATAAAATAAAAAACATTAAAAATATAACTACTAAATGTAACAAGTTTTGTTAGAAGTAATAATTCGACTGGGCATATAGTTCTTGATATCTGTAACTCTATTCTTTGAAAGGACCTGTTAGGAATTGCTCACAACAGATTGATGCGTATGGACCTGAACACTGGAGACCATATCAAAACCTGGCACTTTAACACCATGAAAGTTTGGAATGTGAACTGGGAAGTTAAAGAGGTGGAAGTGCAGTTCGAAGAGGAGACCATCGCCTTCAGCTGTCTGACTGCTGATTGCAAGGTGGTGCACGAGTTTATTGGAGGTTACATCTTTTTGTCCATGAGATCTAAAGATCAGAATCAAACACTTAATGAGGAATTGTTTCATAAGCTCACCGGTGGTTGGGTGTAAACACCGTGCGACTTCCAAGTGATAAGAACTTTGTTTTTGTAATGTTCACTAAAGAAACAACTCAGTACACACGTGTATTTTTAATATCTATGTTAGTGCAGTACATTATGTCACTTATAATGCGTTTAAAAAAGTTTAAGCAGAGAAGACTTTACTTGACTGAACACTTCTTTGGACTGTATTTGCTTTAGAAGTTTTTGAACAATGTTAAAATTAAATATTCAACCCTTTCACTTTAAAGCTACCTACATGTCATGTAGGTTTTTACTATTGATGGCAGTGTAAATCTGCCAAAACAAGTAGGGTCTTTTAACGTTGACCCCGTGTAGTTTTTTATTATGCATTTTAAACATTGTAATTACTTTTAAATTTAACCTTTTCACACAAGTTACTTCAATTGAAAGCACGGATCTTCATCATCCTGATGAAAATCTTTACAAATAACTCAAAACATCATCCAGAAACTTCTAAAACAAATGCAGTTATTTGCAAAATACCAATTTTTCACCTAACGGTACTCTTATATCTGTTTTATCCAATATGTAAATGAATGTGATGGAAAACAGCCAGTGTGTTCTTTTAAAAATAATGTTTATATTTATTTTCATACATTCTTATCTTAATCTAACTGAATTAAAGGTTATATAATGACTTCTGTTTTTATACTCATCATAATATTGCTTTCAGTGTAATTGTACACTTGTGATTAACATGTTCAGTTTTGAAATATTTTGTTTTATTTAATGTTATTATTGCTCAAGGTCAAGCATCATTTTAACAGTGCTGTTTGGTGAGGTGGAATGAATAGATAAATAATTACTTAGTTTTTATGTAATAGTGAAAGAATGGAATAGGTTAAAATAGTGATGATTCCAATAATCTTACAAAATTACACTTCCCATTTTTAGTTTCATTAGTCATAATAGGATGTTTTAATAACAATTACATAAACTTGATTATTTTCTTAATCGCCTATTTGATGATATGGGAGAATTTGGAAACAAACTTTCTATTAAAAAATTTCAAAGTGTAATTAGGCCTGTTTATTTCTAATGCTTTACCAGATCTTGACATTTAAATTTTTAAAGAATCGGTTTACATGGTTGTTGTGGTAAAGAGCACAATGGGATGGGTAAAAAAGTGTTACAAGTTTTAAGAGATCAATATTTCGTGTATATTTTATGAGCAGGACAAGCCTACTTTGAAACAAATCTACTTCCATAAAAATTAAAGGTAAGTATTGGTTGTTCATAGATACATTTCAAATAATTTCTTATATATTGGAACACTTGGCTTATCAGTGCTTTTACGATGCCAAGTTTTATATTTTTATTACTGAAATGAATTATAGTAGTATTAATATGGTTAATTTCCTATAGAGAAATTGAACTTTATAAGGTTTTTATGGATAAGCATTCCAACAAAAATGCTAAATGCAATTTACCTATGACAAGTGCCTTAAAAGTCAGTAACTTATGAAATGTACTGAAAAGTAAACATGTTGAGAGATAGGCAACATTAATATACCTAGGCAACAGCTGTCACAGTGATTGCCAAATGTGAATTAAACATTTGCTTGAATTGTTTGTTGTTTTTTATGTCATGATGCATCTTGCTCAAGTATAAAATGTTTATCAACAGTCAAGACCAATTTTAAAGTGATCAATTTTTACAAATAAAACTTTGTTTCATGTGCATTTCCAATATACCCAATCACTGTTATAGAGGTGCCTTTTGAAAACATGTTACTACTTCTCTAGTCAGTCAGCAAGTTTGAAATATAATACAATCACAATGAAGGACTTCGTTCTAGTTCACAAACAATGGATGATTGGATTATAGTTTCAAACATCTAGTTAAAGTGGATTTTTTTTATGGAATTACATTAAATTTATTAAGTCATTACCAACCCCTACCCTTCAAATGTTTATATTTATAACTAAGTGTAAAGTCCAGAAACTGGTGATTGGCTGGCTAATCCAAACACTTTCTGTAATACTTATTTCAATAAAGTCAGCTTTCATGGAACGTTGTTTGGTGTTCAAAACTTGTCAGTTGTAAGTACTGCAAGAAAATCTTTAATGTTTTTCTGACTTTCTATTAATCAATAATATAAGTCCAAAACAGGATATTTTTATACAACTGGGTAACTTTTGTTTGATAAGTAATTTGGTTTATTTTTCAAAGTTTAACTATAACCCTGCTCAGAAATCACATCAAAACAGTGCCTCTAAATAGATGAAGGAAGGTCATAATTGGGCAGTAACCATGAGCCTGTACTTAATATATTGAGATTTTACTGTATAATGGTACGTGGTTGTTGTTTCCATACATCTTAAACTATCAGAGCAAGATAGAATAAACCAAAAAAAATCTTGGAATTTTTCAAATTCTTCATTTTAAAACCACTAGAACATAATGTACAGAATAACACAACATGACAGCAAACTACTTTTCAGACTTGTGATCAGTGAATTACAACTATCCACTCCCCTACTAGTTTTGAACAAAGAATCATTAGTTGTTAAAAGGAAAATGATCTAAGATAATTTATAGTTTTCATAGATTACAACCTAATTCACAATCATAATATATTACAGTCTACAACACTTTGAAGAGGCCAGTCAGAGTTTTCAAATTGTAATCAAAAAGTGCCATATGAGGAAGTTATAGAATTAATAAAGTATAGACAGGGCTGATTCGTATTTCTCTACAACTCGCAATCATTAACTGAACTTTTTAAAAATATTTCCATTCAAGGGGGTTGATTACAATCTAATATTAACTGCCTTCAACCAACCAAAACAATAAAAAAACTTAGCTTAAAGATGCTTTCTTTACAAGAAAGAATCAAAAACCTCAATGCACAGGTTGATCCATGTCTAATTTAATGACTTTAAAACAGATACGTACTCCTACCAGTTCCTTATTTCTTTAGGATCAGTTTGATGAATAAACTTTAACTGCATACAAAAGCTCATCTAGATCAACCCACGCAACTCTCAACTCAAAAGTAAACACTGTCAATTGGTACATTGTAAGCATATACCAACACAATCTATAAAGTCAAAACACAGTTTATCGAGTTAACACATAAAACTGGAGTACTACTGAATAAGTTACGTACGAAGAATGCTTTCTTTTCAATGTAAGTTTAAAGATTACAACAAAAGGTATTAAGAAAACTGTCAAAGCATATCTTTGGATGAAATGTTTGTCGTGTAGTATGTTCAGGTTCATACAGAAGATGAATTACATATTAAAACCTTCAATAAAAAATATGATACAGATTAGTGAACATTTCAAGTAACAATTTTTCACCCTAAACAAAACAAAAAAAAAAACTTAAATATTGCTTACTGTCATAAAAAATCACAATTTATTTTTACAAAACATCTTCTATCACTACAAACAACTTTATGGAATTCTTGCAAGAGTCTAATGTAAAAATAAAAAAAATGGAAAAGTAAAGAAACCCAAAATGCAACACTAACAACATTTGGCTATTTCCTACTTTTAAGTAAGTTTCAAAACACTAACCAACTATTTTTCAGACATGTAATACTACAGCAAATTAATCTGAACTTTGATCTTCTATTTACACAAGTTAATGTTTTTTCTTCATCTACTGGACACTAGCTCTAAGACAATGGTTAAATAATAACTATCATACGAAACCCCTTTCATCAACAATGAAAACCATGAATGGCCCCCATAGAATATCATTATAGGAAACAAAATACTAGCAGCTCATTTTTTTTTAATTTTTTTTTGCATAAATATCAGAAAATCAAGATTTACCTTCTTAAACAAGCCCCATAACTTCAGGCAAAGTACAAAAGTGGAGGGAATTCAACTTTACATAGGTGTGCCAAGAATTTGGTGTAATTTCCTAAATTCAATAATGTAACAAATTATTTACTTAACTACAAAAGTTTTGCTTCTTACTTTACTGAGATCAAATGGAATGAAAGAAAGAAAATACATTTCCTCACAATGACAAAAGCAGTTGGTTTAAAACCCTTAGTGAAAAGGTTTCTCTTAACATCTTTTCAAGCAAGTTTTTTGTTTTCCAGAAGTGCTAGAAACAAAAGATTTAATATTAGAGGCAATATATATATATATATATGTACACACAGTACATAGATATTTACTCTCGAGTTGCAAACTAAACCATTTTTCAGTACCCCATCCCAGTATACTTTTGCACATTTTACCAGAATGCATCACTGCCACCTGATGTAAGACAAGAACTTCTGGCATTTGTTTCCCGACACAACCTTTACCCAACAGAATCCATGTTCTCCAATTTCATGTTCACAGCTTTAGGTCATTAGCTATTTTTGAAGCTATGTTTTTAAACCCGATGGATGTTCCCGAAATCCTCTTGAATCGGACTCCATTTAGAGAGAGCCGAGGCAACTTGCACACCTCAATCTCCCACTGAACGAGAGAATCCGAATTGGGATCACCATGCACGCACAGGAGAAGGTATTTTTCTCTCTGCTCATAGTCACAGTTGTTCTTTTCCAGAACTTTGCGAATTTCCTGAATTATTTCGTTTGGATCACGTGAAGAAGTGGTCTTCATACTCCAAGTGAACCTTAAGGAACGTGGTTTTACTTGGTCTTCATTCATGGCTCTAGAAAAGTTTGATAAAAAGGAACACAATCACTTGTAAGATTTCCTAGTTTACATACAACACACAGCTTGAAATTAGATAATTTAAAAGATACAGTGAGAAAAAAAACATTGTTCTCTCACAATATAACAAGCAAGCCCAAAGGATATCAAATAATTACTACCTGATGGTAATGTATAGGACTTCATATACGTATATACACACACACACATTTATTTACTCCAATATTGGAAAAATGAAGCAAAAACATTTTAGCCTTAGCACAAGATTTATAGACATTTTAAATTTATTTTCTTCACTTATCTAATTATTAAACTTTCACAAGTTCACTCAATCTTCCTTTATAAGAAAGAAAATCAAAATGAAAAATTCTATGCTAAATTAAAAGTATCTAATCAGCATTTGCCTTTAATATGTAGGTTTAGTACAAAGACAGTGTTTCACATTACTTCTTATTTACATCAGTATAGAAACTGTTCCACATTTTAGTGTTCTTTTTCTCATGGGTCAGCTACAAAATGAATGTAGTTTTGTTAGTCTCAGACATATTTTCAATCTATGAGGAATACAGACTCAAGACTAAGAGTGTCTCTCCCTTCTTTAATTCCTATCTCATCCCTGCTGTTGGTCATTAATTCCCATCTCATCCCTACCGCTTGTCATTAGTTCCCATCTCATCCCTACCGCTTGTCATTAGTTCCCATCTCATCCCTACTGCTTGTCATTAATTCCCATCTCATCCCTACTGCTTGTCATTAATTCCCATCTCATCCCTACTGCTTGTCATTAATTCCCATCTCATCCCTACCACTTGTCATTAATTCCCATATCATCCCTGCTGCTTGTCATTACTTCTTATCATGCATATCTTCTCTCTTATGATCCATGAGCAATAAACCAATGTACTCATCCTTCCACACATTAAACTCCAGTACTTCTAGTTTCTGTCGAGATCATTAAGCTCTAGTACTTCTAGTTTCTGTCGAGATCATTAAGCTCTAGTACTTCTAGTTTCTGTTGAGATCATGTTTCTAGTTTCTGTTGAGATCAGGTGACTGTGTCATCTTGAATTACCATACATATATAGATAGGATATTAAATAATCTATATGGCTTCAAACTACAGGTACTTTATATAACCTCTTTTCACTCTTGCCACATAAATCCCTTAGCCACTGTGGCTTACACACACATTTTATTAGCCACACTGCTTAAAGTATTTAACTTATGTTAGTGAGTATATTAGGGCTGTTGAATGTAACTATATTTGAAGTACTATAGTAGTATAATGAAGCTGTGAATTTAACTATCATATCTGAAGTACTATAGTAGTATAATGAAGCTGTGAATGTAAATATTATATTTGAGATACTATAGTAGTATAATGAAGCTGTTGAATGTAAATGTAGTATAATGAAGCTGTTGAATGTAAATAACTGTATTTGAAGTACTATAGTAGTATAATGAAGCTGTTGAATGTAAATATATTATATTTGAAGTACTACAGTAGTATAATGAAGCTGTGAATGTAAATATATTATATTTGAAGTACTATAGTAGTATAATGAAACTGTTGAATGTAAATATATTTGAAGTATTATAGTAGTATAATGAAGCTGTGAATGTAAATATATTATATTTGAAGTACTACAGTAGTATAATGAAGCTGTGAATGTAAATATATTATATTTGAAGTACTATAGTAGTATAATGAAGCTGTGAATGTAAGACAAGACATCTGTTATCAAAGTAACCACACCATCAACATTTATAGTATATAATATTTATATAAAACAGAAGTTATCTTCAGAAACTTTTTATGTTGTAAATGAATACAAAAACAAGACTAGACAAACTAAGTGACTACTGGTATGTAACATTGCACTGGCAATAATCATTAATACTATTTTACATAAAAATTTATGACTAAGACAGTGAGTAATACTTTGCTGCAATAGTGTAAAATTGTCAAAAACATGCACTGGTCTGTAAGAAACAAAAGCTCTGAAAAAGTCTTGATGTAATCTTGAATCATTGAACCTTAACAGTTTTCAAGTGGTCATGAACAAACGTCTTTTTTTCTGTATGCCTGGATCGTTATCATTATTGTTATTTTCTAGGACTAGCAGTTAAAAATATGATATTGGTTTGATTTCTTTTGACTTTCATTTTCTTGGAGCCTGGGACACCAACTTTATGGAACTCAGATCTGACCTAAGTAAGGCTATCTCTGATTGAATCAAATTAACCCTTCAGTGTCTCAAGAAAAAGTTCCCATTAAAAAGAAAAAAAACCTCAGGTATGTGCGGGATGCCTATTCTATACTGGCAATGCAGTTTTAACATGTAACGGTGAATGGGAAATTAAACCACAAAAATATTAAAATGTGTTGACAATTCATTGGGTGGTTTTAGTATTATGTATTTAAATGTGTGGAGGAATTTCTATTCTCAATGAAGACGACAAACAACTTCAGATAAAAGTTAATTTATTCAACCTGGTGTTTTGGCTTACGCCTTTTTCAAGGGTCAATGAATGTCACAGTTACCAAACTGATTTTAAATTAGAGTAACCCGAAAAGAAAATAGAACTACAACAATATAAGGGAACAGTACACATGAAGTGTGCTAAAAGTATTGTTAAATGGGTTAGAGCCACTGATCATAATGGTAGAAATTAAAAATATATAAAGAAATGATAAAAATGATGATTTAAAGTATTATAGGGGCCAGGTATTTTACCTGTTAATGGAAGGGCAGCTGGATTGAATCAAAAGAGATTTCTTAAATTTTCTGTCAAGAAAATTGTCACAAGTCTAAAATTTTCATTCGATAAAATGTCTCATCAATTGTGCCGTGTGCTTTGATGTGGTGGCTTCTTTGTTGTCAAGATTATTTTACAAAGTAATAAGGAACTTATATTCACTTTTGTGGCAAATCAAAGGTGTTTTAGGATTCGCCACATTGAGTTTAGCTTCGCATTTGCGAGTGTGGCGATCGGCTAGTGTGAAAAGATTATAACCCTCCTTACACTTCTAAGTAGGATAACAATCTAACTTTAAATACAGACTGCATGTATTTGGTCTCATTTCTAAGGTAATAACCTGTCACTTCACTGAGACAATCCACCTTGTGAACTTAACATAAACTAGAAGTTTTTACAGAACATTTATATATCTGTAACATGTACTATAGTAAAACTTTCATTGAAACTAAAACTTTGAAGTGATAAACTAGAGGAAAGGCAGCTTGTCAACAGGATCCACCATCGACTCTTATATGGCTCAATAAAAGGATATGACAGTAACTCTTATAAAGCACCCATGGCAAAGCATGATTTTATTTTTTGCTACAATAGGTCATCAGCCATTGAACTTGTATTCCATATTTCAGCATGCTAGCCACTGGGCTAGGTCCATCTAGCCACTGGGCTAGGTCCATCTAGCCACTGGGCTAGGTCCATCTAGCAACTGGGCTAGGTGCATCTAGCCACTGGGCTAGGTGCATCTAGCCACTGGGCTAGGTGCATCTAGCCACTGGGCTAGGTGCATCTAGCCACTTGGCTAGGTGCATCTAGCCACTGGGCTAGGTGCATCTAGCCACTGGGCTAGGTACATCTAGCCACTGGGCTAGGTACATCTAGCCACTGGGCTAGGTGCATCTAGCCACTGGGGTAGGTGCATCTAGCCACTGGGGTAGGTGCCCTGTCAGGTAATAATTTCAGAGCCAGACTCACCTCTTACTAAACTTTGAGGAAAGTTTGCTGAATAGAGAAGCTCTTCCACCAGGTGTACTGTAAGGGGAATCCTGGGTCTGGACGGACACAGTCCCTGGACCATTGTAAGCATAACGTCTTTCTCGTGTTTGACCACTATGGAAAGTATTGCGGTTAACAGTACCTCGAGGAAATGGTCTACTTGCTGTGGGCACTGGCAACACAGTTCCTAATGAAGTCTCTGCCCCACTAATTTAAAAGTACAAGTGATAATACTTAATTTAAATTAGAGAAGTTAAAATTGAATTTTACAACAAGATAAAAGTTCTAAAACAAACAACTGACAGTTTCTGTGAGAATAATATTTTGACAACATCTACTTCCAACAAAAACACTATGTTAGGTTTTGTAAAAGAACGATACATTTAGCTCGTCCCTAATGATATTTCAAATACAGAATTCGGTGAACTCAATTAAAAAAATCAATTCATAATTTCATTTTCCACTAATATCCTCATAAATTTTAATACAAATCTTATATGTTAATTAAATAAAAATTTGTTTTCAAAAACATCAAATATCTTAGAAAGCTGATAATCAAAGAATGATGCCACACACACCTGTACCTATATAGTGATTAAGTAAACCTCATTTATAACGATTATCTCTCACAAACTACTTATTTTAGGACAGACTATCTAGAATGATGTTGGTTGCAGTAGATTGACTTATTGGTAGCCTTGATATGCTGATTGGGAATAACAGAGCATAATGAATTCTGGGACTGTTTTTGAAATGCCCAAACTTCCCCGAATAAAACTTAATTATTCTCATTACATCTCTGCTGAAATCCTGATCCCATAGAACAAGATATAATCATTTTAAATATGAGGTTTTCTTTATAATCACTCCCTACTAATACTTATATACACCAATAATCCAAGGGCTCAGTGATGATGTTAATGATACCTCAATGATCATTAGTTTAATAACGATGTTTGAATATAAAAATGACAGAGCTTGAAATTAAATACTCATGACAATTTTTTGTTAATGAAAAAAAAAACTGATTTGTTTATCATATCTGACTTAGCTTGCTACAAGTCAGACCTGTAGTTATTTATTTTAACAGATGTGATATAAACAGAAATAAACTAAGAAAAAATATATTATGGAAAAATTAAAAAAACAGCTTAAAAATAGGTTATCTTATAAAAATTAAACATCTATAAAAAAAAAAGCACAAAAGCAGCTGCATTAGACTTTTTGGTGCAAGAAAAATGATAGTGTAACAAATTTAATACAATATACTTTCAGAAAATCTCACTTATATTGAAAGATATATTAATTAACCCTTTAAACCTCTCATACTATAAAATTATGTTATTAGCTCTATAATTATGCATCACACACACAAGAAGCTGTAAATTCAGTTATCAGGAAAGCAACAAAGTACTTCCCTTTTGTTAAAGCAGGCAGACATTTTTTGACCTTATGCATCAGAACAGCAAGGAAGTGGTTAATGTGTAGGTTAGTAATATATATACCTGGTTCGAAGTGGATCTCCTATTGATGTATCAGTGTAGCCAGTATATGAAACAGATGCAGACTTCGTGTGACCTTTTGACCTTGGAGTAGGTAAGTCATCACCCCTAGCAGTAGTACTGTTATAAATGTTTTCTTATTAGTTGTATAAACCGGAAAGTTGGCATGCAGTCTCCCAAAAAGGTTATTAGTTTTAGTATAATCCTTAAACAACTTTAATTACTTGTTTAATCTAACAAGTTTATATCATAAAAAGACAGGAAGTATCGTACATGCACATTTCCCTTACTTCAAATAAGAAGAAAAAGAAAGAAGACAAGTTTATTACTCCACACTACATGCATTCTTCTGGTTACCTTTTAACACCTCTCAAAGTTTAGAGAGAGAGAGAACAAAAGTTATAATCATTTGGTTTACACATTACACAAAACAATTCATGGATAACTGTAATATTTTAGCTCTGACAAGGCAATATCTTTTAGTAAGAAAAAATCACTTTCCCGATTAGTTACACAAATCAGGAATACGATGGTCTGTAACGTAACGTGAAATTCATCCAGCTTACTCTAGTAAATTAACATCAGACATGGGTGGCTTTACATCTTTATAGTCCATGATCATTACGCCATCATGAAGAGCCTGTTAAAATAATAGTGTTGGTAAACTAAGGAGGTAGTCTGCCACTTCTATGAATGAGCTGTTTTCAGAACACCTTCGGTCACTTGACAGGAACCGACACAGCTCCCGAGGTCTGGTGAGCACTCCATTTGTTTAATACCTTCTTCTTGAAAGAATGTATCAACAAGTTTAGCACAGGGAGGAATCATTATTACTCACTAGACTAAAGTAAGGGTGAATTACAGCAGAACATATGTTTTATAGGATATGGTTCCTTAATGTGTATGTGCCATTCTACATAATTTAGAGGTTAGTATGTCCAATAGTGCCCATACCATACTTCCACCACCACCACCAAATGAATGACTTTTCTCTATGTATACACATGTCATCTAGCTGCAGCATAAACAAAACTCATTTGCAAAAACAATATTCCTCTTTCAACCAGTAAAGATGAGTACCTTGTTGCAGGTGGAATGTACTTCCACATGTATCTGGCATACAGGCTGTATAAAGACATTTGATTCAGTTTTGACCAGGTAACCTACTAAAGGACAACTATTGATCGTCTGCTTGTCTTTTAATAGATGACCTCCCTTGGTAAAGGTGTACAAACAAGTGTTTGGAAGTGGATTCACATTCTACTAACGACGTGTTTAGGTAATTGTAGCCAATTAATGACGGCCTGCTTTGATTGGCAAGCTTCCAGCAATTCAATGGCTTTCTATTTGCGAGAAAAACCTAGATGTCTATATTCTTTGAGGGCAAGCCATGAATCGTAAACAATCTGGAGCTCTTTGGTCTCTGATTCAAAGCAAGAAATGAAACAATACTGTGTGAGAGACCACTACAATAAAGGTTGAATGATCCATACTTTGATACTACAAATCACATCACTGACAATAAACAGAAGGGTGGGTAGCATTACTTTGTAACAGTGACTTATCCTTAAACTGTTAAATGCACTAAGTGGTTATACTTACAATATTAAATTGCATATATTTTTTGCTTATTGAACAATCATGTAACAACTTTAAGATGACCTGTTGATTCATTTTTCTAATTTATGCTAAAGTGAAAAACAAGTTTTTATGTTTGAAGACGAGTACTGTTATTACAACTTTTAAAAAGACAGTAAAATGTTTCCCCTACAAATATCCAGCTGCTAATAAGCTGAAAACATTTTTTTTAAATTCAAGATTATGGCATGAACTATCAGCTATTTTTTGATAAACCAAGAATCAGGAAAAACCTGTTATTTTATCAATTTGTAATGAAGATATGAAGTTGAACTTCTATGGATGATTATACACTTTACAACCTTAACCAAACTTTTTCTGAAGAATTAAGTACAGGCCTCAGCTTGTCAATCAAAAGTCTCTTCGTTCATCATTGTTTCTTCCCTCAGTTTGTTATTTGGATGAAATAAATTTACACATTTTAAAATACAAGAAATGATTAGTTTTGTGATTTGTTTAATTTTGCACAAAGCTACTTGACGACTATCTCCACTAACTGTCCTAATTTTGAAGTGACAGACTAGAGGGAAGTCAACACCACCCATCTCCAACTCTTCAGCTACTCTAATCAAATAGTGGGATTTTACCATCACTTCTAAAATGACACCCACTACCTCAAAGTGCAGATTGCAATATATGTTTTTTGGCAGTAAGAGGGAGCAAACTTTGGATCCAAAGTCCAGCATGCTAACCACTGGGCCCAACAGGAACTGGTTTAAAGTGTTATGCAACAAATCATTAAACATATAAATAAATAAACACAATTATAAAACTCAAAAAATTAGCAATTTACCTTAAATTTTGAGTAGGTGTTTCATTAAACAATTATTCCACAAAGTTTGTTAACTACTTTTCTTACTGAACAACCATCACAAATGATCCAAAGGAACATAAAAAAAAATCAAAACCTATCTAAACTGTGAATTATCTTTAATAAAAAGTGAAGGAGCTTGAACATATCTTAAAAACTTGGAAGAAAGAAAATAATGTTTAGAGTAAACATATACTAAATTTGATCTAAAGGTAAATAAAAAGATATTGAATCAAGGCCTTGTTGGAGCTGTTTGATTACAACAATTGGTAGTAAAAATATCAAGATATATTTATGAAAAAAAAAAATAGGCTTAGCAGTCAAAATAAAAATGTATGACTCTAATGTGTTCTGTTGATTACTGAACATAGCTGGTACACAATTATTTTGTGCAATTAAATATATTTATCTTATCTAACACAGAACGGGTAAGAGAAAATCCTATTTTTTAATAGCACATATACATTTAGCTTTCAAAGTTGTTAGTTATCTTAAATACCAAAAATATCTTAAGAGGTTACAAAATACCTTCCCACTGCCGACTCAAGATCAACACTCCTTCCACTACTAGTACTTTTAATATCGTATGTTGTGCGCCTAGGGATGCCACTTGGAAGGTTTTTTCCTGGGGTAATATTTGATCCACCAATGTTGGAGGGTTTTCTCACTGAACCATATCCTCTAGAAGGACTAGCTGTTGTTCCTGGTGTACTTGGAGCAGATATATTTGAGCCTACCAAAACACATGTAAAGTCTTATACAGTTCTCTGAAAACTTTTTAATTTGTGATTTAAAAAGTTCCACTACATGCAGTAAGCTTTGTCAGTGGG